GTATGTATGGATCACGTAGGTTGTTATCGACATCTAGTGAAAATTTCATGTCATTAGCACCTCTAGTAATATATTTACTGAGAAAAATGGTGACGTGTTCAATACTTATTTTACCCGCTGTATGTTTACTTAAACTAAACTAAAATTTCAAAACATGTTTACACTTTGAATTAAAACGTACATCTGCCCTTTCTGGGACAGAGACGCGCTTTACGCAAAGTGTGAAAACGCGAAGTAAAAAGCCTGCTTTGATGTTGTCCTGCACGTGAGTCACTTCTCAAACGGCAGGTGTTGTTGTGATCAAAGCATCAAGGCTGAAACGTACAGTAGATGCTGTTTGCACTAAAGAGAGGAAAAGAAAAACACTTTAAAAACATGCAGCCTACACTACGCCTGAATCAAAGTGTGACAAACATGTAGGCACAGAACAGTTTTTGCTGAAACTCAAATAGCCTCATTTACTTCAGTTCATACAAAGTGTGACGTTCTCTCAAAAACAATGCATTGGAATTATATTGGAATACAAAATGTTTACGATCGCACAGCGATGAAGATGTGCTTCAGCAGCGCTGCACGGGCATAAAACATTAACTATTAATTGCAAACAACCTGCTGGTGTCCAAAAATCTGTTTTACTGTCAATAAAAGTCTAGCTTTGCTGCCAAAATGTAGCTGTCTGCAAATGGAAAATGATGAAACGATTGATCCTGGAGTTAATAATTACACTGAATTTAAAAAAAGGTAAATTGATGACCTTAGGGCTACACCACTTCAAACATCAAAGTTATCTGATAAAATTTTATCAAAGTGTTTTAAAAAAAAAACACTCAAATTTGCAATCTGAAAAGTGCAATTAAAGTTGCCAAAGCAGGATGTTGGTGGTGTAGAAGGCAGAAGTGGTAAATTATCTGTGGGCTCATCCGGAGCATGCCATTCTCTTTTATCTCAGTGTTTATGCAAAAACAGATGTTCAGACTGTCTTCCTTCCTTTCCGTGATCACATTCAGTTATGACTTCTGGAGGTGTTAGATTGGGTAACATTTTTAAAGTAAAAAAAAAAAAAAAAAAAAAAAAAAAAAGGCAGAGAATTAGGATTCATATAAAATTGATAGAATTTCAGAGCAAATACTTCCTGATGAGAAAAAGTGCCAAAAATTAGGACTTTTTTTTAATAACTTTGACAAAAACAAAAAAAACTAATCCTTATTTGGCGGTACGCAATCCACAACACAAGCGATCGACAACAAAAGCATGGCGCCGTATCTCAAGGCACTCCTTCCATTTATGACAACAGAACAAAGTCCGAATCTGTCTCAGTCGTTCACACACACACACACATGCACTAACAAAATACATGCACACACCTCACTTGAGGAATTATATAACATGATAGGTGAATAGCTGAGGGAGTGACATTGCAGCARCACCTGCAGTTAGACTTTAAGTCGTGCATAGAGATTACAGGACGACTTTAACAAAAGCTCGAATCTCAGTGTAGTCGATTAGAGTGTCTGAGATTTATGACACGAAACACAGTTTGTACATAAAAAAAATTAAAATCAAGCTTTCAAACATATCAGAGCCACTTGCGTAACATTGAAGATGGTACCCCAATAAAATGTGGTGTTTCTGCATTAATCTGAAGGAGCGTTGAKGATAAACACGGATACAGCAAAGCTTGGTAACTTCCCCTGTTCCTCAACCAGATATTTATCAGGACTTGTCTTGCTGTGAAATTGCCATGTTTCATTAGTGATGACAATTTTAACCACTGATAACTTTGGATGATCAATCTTTCACATCAGTCTGATAAAACTCTGATAAAAAACGGTCATGATTTGATGAGTAATTTGGTTCTTACTCCATAATTACGATCTTAACCGTGTTACCCTCTAACAGTTGATCTAATGACATTTTGYCTATCTGACTGAGTTTTTGATTTTCAAAACCTTTTAAATACTACACTCTGACAGAACGTTGATTTAGTGACGTTAATTTTAAGTCTATCAATGTGAACTTTTTACATAATTTATWTTAGTGTGTCAATGTTTTGCTGTCAGTAAAACACAAATAAATCATWTTCATCTGAAATAAAAAAAATTAAGTCTAAGTGTAGATTCTAGTAGAAGTGTTGAAAGTATTAGCTGTCATTACAGGCGGCACTCTATACAGAAACCTATAATTATCTTATTTATTGCATCTATGAACATWATAAGCAAAAATGCTTTATTTGCCACAAATAAGAAAAGGTTTGACAGCAAACTTTGACTTCAATGCCATCATAGATAAACCAAAAAAAGACATTCTGTACAGTTTTTAGAAACACGGACGTAACACAATGAGATGTCTTTTGTGACAMCAAACTAGATTTTGTTTTCCTAGAGTGTAATTATTATATGATCGTATAATACCAGAGTATTTGACAGCTCACACTGTCTACTGGGTAAGTTTATAAAACATGTCTCCGAGCTTCTGTCTACATTATTGATGAGTCACAACTAATGTTTTCTTGAAGTAGACTCAAAAGCGCAGAACTTCCTGAAAGTTTAAAAGAAAGTACAAATACATTCAAATAAGACTTTATACACAGGGCACGTGATAAGCCACTTGCATTCATCCTGACTGAGTTATAAATACAAACAGCTCAGCCCTGCAGGACCCTGAGGGAGCCAGAGACCAGACGATGACTTGCACTTACCTGAGAAGCTGTGAGCAGTTTGTTGGGTCAAATCTCTGCCTGGTGTTTGCATGTCCAACTCAGACTGCCTGCAGCCCAGAGGCACACTCTGGACYAACACCTGACTGTGTGCCAGTTGTCAGTCCTGTGACCGCACCCCCCCACCTCTCTATCACCACCCCCCCAATCTGCACGAGACTGCTAACCTGTCACTCAAAAACGGAAGTGTCCAGCTTGTTTCACCTTAAATTACAATCTGGATCCTCATGAGTTTGGTCAGTTTGCACAGCACAGTGCAATTAAATAAATGATCGGTTCAGTATGTCAAAAAAAAAAAAACTCTTTTGTCACGAGCGGACTTTAATCCTTMTGGCCTGACTTTATCGTGATGTTTTTGTGTGTTTTATCACTACAGTTCGCGGCGGCGGTGAGCTGTAAACCGAGCGGAAGAAGGTGACTGACCTGGTCGGTGTGTTGAACCGCAGAGGAGACGCTCGGAGCCCGCTGCTCGCTCTTTCGGGTGTTTCACTCGTCTTTCCCCCGGGGACAGAAGCGTCGGCACCGTGAGAACCGAACCGAACCGCGGGCGTTTGAAAGGCGGCCAGGTCAGGTCGGTGTGGCGTGAAGTCTTCTGCTCATTGCTGCGGCTGTGCTGCTTTGGGTCGGTGCATGCCTTGCCTGGTTCTCCTCACTCCCTCCCTGGTTCTCCTCACTCCCTCCCTCCTGCACAACACAACCTCCCGGGAGCTTGAGAACACTAAAAGAGGCGTCAGGTTACCCTCTAAAACTCGGCTTTTCTTCTTTTAAACGAACCGTGTAGGCGTATTTTCTCTATACTTCCTGCTGATGATAAAAATAACACACAAACTAATACATACAATAATAATTTGACAAATTGTTTTATTTTTTATTTTTATTTTTTACTGGAGTTACGTCAATTAAGCTCCCTTGGATGGCCTTGTGGGGAAAATCAGCCCAGTGTTCATGTTTTTTATTGTGCTGTCAATAAACACAATTTATATTGTGTGTGTGTGTGTGTGCGTGTCGCTATACTGTATGTATACAGCGGGTAAAATAACTAATACATACAATAATAATTTGACGAATTGTTTTATTTTTTATTTTTATTTTTTACTGGAGTT